GCCATCACTAGTAGGTCGGAGGCCATCGCTTCAAGGTTGGAGGCCATTGCTATTAGGATGAATCTCAGAAGAGGCTCAGTTGTGCTGAGTCGAAACATGTCGAGATTTCGCTGGATGTTGTTGTTTAAACCCATGCTACAGTATTCCATGCTACAGTATTCCATGCTTTTGCCATCTTATCTCTCGAGTTTGGATGTGCCATCAATTGGTGAACCGGTATATGTTGCAAGATCTGTAGCAACGGAACAATAGCATTGTTTTCTGGAATGTTTATGGGAGTTGATCTAAAGGTGCGTGTAAGGGATTTACCTTTTATATAATAGATTCTAATAGATACTCTCCGAACCATCAGCAAAAGATCCTCGGTGAGGTTCGCGAAAGCATTTGTCTCGCAAAAGATTTATCGAAGGTCTTGACTTTAATGTTATTTCCTTTCTACTAACCATCATAATATGACATATGGGAGAAATACAAGACAATCCTCCGGCAGAGCCGGTGGGCGGAAGTGTTCGCACATGTCCCCACTGAAGCCTCAACGTTTCCTTGCGCAGCCCTCACAGTGCGTAAAGGGTTCTTTGATTCCCGTCCCCGCTGTCACAGACTAGCAACCGGACAACCAAATAGCCTCGCCAACATAGGCAGCCCGGCAGCCCCCAGTTTGTGAGGCTTGCACGTGATCCGCGGCCTCTTCTGCGTGATTTGCCCCTTGGAGAGTGATAATTGGTGTTCATCGAGCATTGAACCACGGATGGCGGCTAATGCGTTCGTTGACTTGTTTGGCGGCCTCAGTGGCCCGTAGCCTGAAAACCATCAATATCAGAATCAACTTGGATCAGATTCATGTTGATTCATGCCCTTTCTGCATTGCATGCTGAATCAACATATGCAGTTGGCTCTGACATCTTCTGCCCGCCCGGCCGCTGGTGAGGTCAGGAGCGAGTTGGCTGGAAGTACGAGGCGAGTGGGGTAGAGGGAGCTCCAAAGTGATTTGGAGTTGCTGCAGCCAGTAATGTTGGACTACTTGAGTTTAATAGAACCACTCATCCCTGGTGAGCTAAGCAGAATGGGTGAAGCATGGTAGGTTGAAAGATGTTGAAACACTGGGAGAGTGAAATAAAGTGAAGAGTACTGAAGAGGCAAAGCGGTGAGAGTTGAGATGATCCTAGGTAGCCTTCGAGGAAGATCAGAAGTACAAGGACGGCGCTCACGAGGGATGGAATGGGAGGAATGGGTGGATGAGGGGAGCATGGTTGGCACTTGCTCTTGGAAGAGCCATCCCAAAGGATTTTGTTCAAGGTTGAATCCTCGAAGCCTGGCTACTAGGTTGGAGGCCATCGCTATTAGGCAGGAGGCCATCGCTATATAGTAGGTTCCTTTTGCTAGTAGGTTAGAGGCCATTGCTATTTAGGGTGAATCTCAGAAGAGGCTCAGTTGTGCTGGCACCTTGAAGCCTGGCACAGACAGGGACTTGTAGCTCAAAGTCGAAAAGACGAAGGCAGTTGATTCTGTAGACTTGAATGTCGCTCGAATTCCCAACACTGAGTCAGGCAATTACGGCAACGGATACTGTTCCCCAAAGTGGCAGCTGCAATTTGCCAGGAAGGTCGCTTTATTTTGGAGGAAGAGCTGATGCTCTCCACCATGTAATCCACACGATCTTCGACAAGTGCAAGGAGATGAAAACGATTGCAACAAAAAGACAAGCAGCTCGAAGCTAAAGATAATGCCAAGTGTCCTAACAGGTCCCAACGTCTCAAGATGCTTGTCGCGTGTCCAGGACCTGATAGAATCACAAAGACTGAAGGATTTTTTCACAAGCCGATGTCATCATTTTCTTGGGTCTGAAGACTTCAAGACGGCTTTCTCTACATGTATACCCTGGGAGTCCAAGACTATTCAAAGCATACGTAGTCTTTAGGTGACCAATATATAGGAACTTCCTTCACTTCAGTGCGCGAAAATATGATCCAAGTGGACCTCCAGTGACTTCCAGGGTATTTAAAGAAATACATGTTGGGGAATTCGTCAGGGTAGGTATGTTGACATGGTATATTCCTGACCGCACAGACCGAAACTCTCAAAAGCAGAGCCTCGACGAAATAATCGGTCTTCTGGACCGGGCACAGACCGGGTGGGCGTTTTGCGGCGCAACCGCGCGAACCATCGAACGGGCCTTAAGAACGCCCCATGAACATAGAACAGCGAACACACTCCACTATATCAGAGGTGGTAGAGCGATTGATTTGATGGCGAAGTTTGTGCAGGCTGCGCCTGCCACAGAAGTTTGAAGACAAAGTTTCTCCTCAAACATGCCTGTACATAGAGAGTAGCGATCGGGCAGAAACGAATCGCCGGCAGAAACACCCTGAACGGTGCTAATTAGTAGTATTGGATTGTTGTGAGTTGCTGCAATATGTCTACATGACCACCAAATAGTTGTCCAGGTCTTGGTGAAGTTCCAAAATGACCTGTTCTCGTCCAGTTTCGGGGTTCAGGTCCTCTGGTCCACAGGAACTTTCCAGCTAAAGCAGGGCCTCATTTGCAGCCAGGGGTGAACTCGTCGTCCTGTCAGACCGACCCAAGACATCGGGCATCCGGACCGGGTGGGAGACCGTTTGGGAGACCCGCAATGGGTTTTTGAGCAATTTTTTGCGAAGCTTCCAGTGAGTCTTTGGGAGATCTCTCTATTTTAGACACTCACCCATAATGGCTGTTCAGCAAGTTTCTTCCACAGGGGAGACGGACCCAGTTCCTGTTCGTGTTACACGGACATGCAGCTGACTGGAACTCGAGAGATTCGCCGATGGCGTAAAAAAACGGTCTGCCCTTTGGCTGCTGGACTCACTTGGTGGTGCTTGACTTTCAATGCCACCCATTTTTTTGGACCACGGCCCAGAGGTGAACAGCAGAGAGGTGAACTTTTGAGGCTCGGCCTCTCGGCCCAGCCGAGACTTTTCAAGGAGAGAAACACTTTTGTTCGAAGCGTCCACGGGGGGGTGAACTCGTTGGCATTCACATCGGGCTAGTGGCCCAAGTGGCCCAGGTGGCGCCGTTTCGCGCCGTTTCGCACCGGGATCATGCAAAGACGGAGAAGAAACAGGAGCTACTAGTATAGCTTCTGGTTAACTAGTAGCGATGGCCTCCAACCTAAGAGCCATGGCCTCCAACCTAGTAGCTTGGGTAAATTCCTCAAACAGCTTGTCACCGGAAGTTTGGCAACTCCATTTTCCCTTTCTACAGCCAGATCCCTGGAGTGGGTATGGTGCCGGGGGCTCTTTGTTTCTCCAACTGAGAGCATCGAACTCGACAGCAAGCAACTTGTAATCAGCTGTCATCAGCTATCGCCCATTTTTCAGAGCCTCCCCAACCCCCCTTCTCCTTGGGCCCGTCCCCCGGCTCCACCGGCCGCCGGCACCGCACCATGCCGCGGATGCCGCGGATGCCGCGAGCTGAAGGATGCCAGGTCGATCCAAAAGGGGCTGCGCAGTGGGAGGCTTCCGTGGCTGAGCCAAAGCGCCTGGCTCCTTTCACCCGGACCGGTGGACCTCCCGTTCCCAAGACTGGTCATTCGGTCTTCCTCTCTCAGTCACGGGTCAACCGGAACCGCTCTCCACTCACGGCTGACTCCGTTGGACTCGTTTTGGGTCGTTCACCGTCCAGGACATGTTCGGTGTAGATCACTCAGACAGGACATGGAACATGGGTTTCTTCGTTTGGTGTTCATTGTTGTGTTTGTTTTGTGTGTATTTGTTTGGGTAGTATGTGTTCGTTTTGTAGGTTCTACACGCATCACCTCACCTGGGAACAACGCTGCCCATTGGCCTGTGCGTTGGGTCCATCCGTCATCGATGTCGCAGCCCGTTTGGCTTTGCGTAGACGAATGACCTCAGCACTTACAGACTTTCGAAGGTTGTTACTGCTTTACCGGGGAATTCGACTTGCCAACGTTGGCGGATCTGTCGGACAGATCCGTCTTCGCATATCGCAAAGCAGATCGCAAGCTTGCGGCAGCTGGGAAATTGGTTGTCCAGAACCCGAAAACACTAAAAGGGATGAGTCCATGAGTTTGGTTTCAATTTTTGTTGTGACGTCTCTGCTTTACAAAAGGCGCGACGAGTTGGCCCAATATGGGGCTCACAAGCGCGATGGATGGGCCATGATTGCCCCGGTGCATGTCTTCGCCTTCGCAGCCGCTGGGATGAAAGTGTGAGTCGACTGATGGGGTTAGCTGTTTGCTCTGCGAAAGCAGACCAGGACCTGGTCGGTCGCCCCACAAATGCCCACGAATTCCAGCAGCATGGCCCTGGTGTTGCTAGAACAAGGACGGTCAATTCCTTTCGGTGCTCTCGTTCGCTGGCCAGCTTCCAGTTTCCACGCTGGGAAGGTTCGAATCACATGCCATGACATGCCTCTCAGTGGACCAATATGTTATGTGAGATCACAATTCCAAAAAACAGAACACAGACAGATCCAGGAAGAACATCATCCAGTCATCCCAACAATTTTTGTTTCAAAACTGGATCCTTTCCTGTTCTGTTGGACTGCGTGGAACTTTCCTTCCCATGTTCTTTGCATGTTCTTCCTTTTGGAAGGTGGCTCTGCAAGACGGTTTCTGGATCTTTCTCGTGTTTCACATGCTGGTGGGCGCTGGTGGGCACTCAGGATTCGGCTCATCCAAGCCTCTGTACCTTGGCCTCCTCGGTGGCCTTTGCGGGAGGCCGTCTCAATGTCGCCTGGGAACCCGAAGCCGAGACTGTGAACTCTGGAGATTCCTTGGAGGTTCCTCCACCTTCAAATCCTTTAAAAAACGATTTAGTTCAGTGCATTGCTCGTTCAAAAACCTTCCGTAGAACAAGGAGAAGATCGCAGGATCGACACTTGTAGGATGAGATCTTTCGCTAGCGAGAATCTGTCGAAGTTGAGGCTATGTCATGTCTTTTGGGGAGCTTCTCTTGGGCGTCAAGCCAGGCAAAGCAGACACAACCCTATTGTATCTTCTTGTGTGTCCATAGATACCTGAACCTGCAATGCGGAGCTGCACAAACGAATAAAGAAACATCGTGGAGACTGCAATGAATGACGTTTTTTCAAAAAGGCCTACTCCGCCTACTCCCATTTCTGTTCGTCTCCAGAATGATCCATTCTACGCAAGTAGTCGCTTGCTCGAACCCGATGGATGGGAAAAACTTGCTTTGGCCCCTCGCAACCTCAGGTTGGTTTGAACTCAGCAGCTTCTGCCTCAGAGTGTCGTGGGCATTCAATCTGTGTATCGAAAGCAGACCAAAGACTTGTCTTCACTTCAAGGGATGACCACGATCCGACATGATCCACGGCCATAGTCAAGTCTGTGTTGTTCGTCATCCGAACATGCAAAAAGGCCTTTCTTCCATGGTCCCACCCACTTCGGGAAACCAATCGCCATGTCACCAAATTTTGGTGAAACAAGGAAAGCTCTGGTGAAGTTCCACCCGAGGCGGGAGTCAGAAGTGAGAAGAGAATCCAGCGTGAAGCCAGCCTTGAAGAAAACAGATAGGGAACCATTGGGAACGTCTAGAAGCGTCCGTTTGGGACCTTTTGTTCTGCTCGTGTACAAAAAGAAGCTAGTAGGTACAAGTGCATCGCTTCTAGTAACAAGTGTCTTTCGGATGAGGTCCACTGCATCTCATGCAGGCAGACGGCTAGGATGCTTGACACACATCCGCAAGACGAGTGGTTTGTCAACAACATGACTTCATCCAAACCGGGGCCCTGACGGGTCACCTGGGATTGGTGGGGCCAAGTTCTCCCCCCGTCGTGCGTCTAGATGACCCTTGTATACCCTAGTAGCTTATTGTTTCTAATAGCTTCTTGTTACTACTAGTAAGGCCCTTGCTCCTAGTAGCGATGCACTTGTTCCTAGTAGCTTATTGTTTCTAGCGAGACGCCTGTAACATGGCAGAGCTTTCGAGGCCCTGGAGGTGATTGCAGAAGCTTTGGCAGAGCAGGGCCAGGACCTTTGCATCATGCTGTCCGTTGAACGTGCCGCTTCCTGGTAGTGGCAGATTGATTAGGAGAGCATCGTAGAGTCCGTAGAGTCTGGTTTTCATTTTGGATTTGGGCTATTTTGCTCTGATGTTGTTCAGCATTAGGATGGCTGCGTGTCCCAGTGTGTGCTATTCAGGAGAAGGCGGTGGAAGGACAAAGAGTGTCGACCACCCTTCATTGCACCAGCAAAGAGGAGACTGATTCTTCAGATCGACAGGAGTAATCTTTCAAGATCGGCCGACTGTTCAGTTTCGGCGGTTTCGGGATGCTGCACCCCAAGCAAGCTTCCTTTATGACCTTTGAGTTTTTTGCAAGAAATCAGAGATGCAAGCCAGTGCTTTGCCCAAGAACAAAGGCTTTCCAGTTGCTAACTGCGGAGGAGTGCTTGAAAAGCCGTGGCTTAGCCAAGGCAGGGAACTGAAAAGCCTGGTTGCGGGCCTCTCTTCTCCTGCAGCTTCCACTGTGAGATCCGCTCTTAAAGCAGCTTTCTGATATGCAGATCGGTTGGGCAGAAGGTGACATATTATTCGCAGACACGAGCATCTCCAAAGAAGCGACTTGGCTCCAAGCATCTCCTTTCGCTCCGGATGGCAACCATTCAGTTCCAGGTGCGAAAGTTCTTGGCCGTGGGATTGCCCAGTGAAGGTCGTCTAGCTTGATGAATTCGCGAGCTGTTCGCGCCTGCCAGAGACTGCGACAGCGAGCGACAGTTGAATCGACAGTCGACAGCGCTGTTAACAGGCCTATATAAGTAGTCTGTTATAATGTCTATATACAATAATATTATAGTGGATTTGGGGATTGTTAGATTTTGGGGATGCGAACTGCAGTTTCGGTGTGAGCATATCGCATGAACTTACAACTCCAACTTCAATCCAGAGTCTGGTGCGGAGTGATCGGAACGCCTTTTGTCATGCTAGGATGAGAAGTGCACATCGCTTTTTTCCTCCAATGCTTCTCCGAGCAGAATTCAGGTTTGGCCACACTTGAAGGCATTCAGTGATGACGATTTGCACGATACTCGGACTGTGTTGAGTTGTACTCATTGATGTGGGTCTTTTAGATTTGAAGTTGGCATTCTGTTTCTGGGTGGGCCAAATCGAATCACAGAATCTTGGCTTTTCTAGAGCCATGAGGCTTCTGATCATGGATGGCTATGACGTCTCGTGCGGGAACCCAGGTGAGAAGACCGTAGTAGAGTCTAAGATTTTTGCCAGCCATGTCTCACGTCAACGGATCGCCATGGGCAGTGTATACAGTGGATCGCCTGGTCATGCCCGGCGGTTTTCTGAACACGAAAAGACCTTTGAACATGCGGGTTTCTTGATGCATCGGTTGCTACATCTTTTCCTGCCTTTTGAAACTGATAGTGATGGGGTCACTGGGTCATGAATTTTGGATTGTCAGTGGTTGCGTTCATGCGTTGGAATCGCAATGCAGCACAACTTGTTGCTTGTTATGCAGACTTGCATGCATTTGCAGGCAGTCTCTAGGTTGCTCAAAAGGGATATTATCTAGTCACCAACTCCCCTGTTTTGCCCGAGCGAGAGGCTCGGCCCACCGCGGTCACAGGTTCGAAGCACCCAGCTTGGAGCATTTGGCCCTGGCCTTCCAACGCCTTCAGCGCGAGATCGGGTGCGCCCAGCCGCCGAAGAGGGCTTCGGAAGTCGTGCAGTGTGGGGTAGAGAATGATGAAACCAATAGGGACCAGATCACATTCAGCTGCTGGAGTTCCCTTCTCATCCAACAGCCAAGGTCTTGCAGTCCCTTCTGGCATACTCATGCGGAGTGGAGTCTGTTTAGGCCCAGTAAGATATGCGAAGCTGCTAAGAGCAGTTTGCATCACTTGAGACCCAAGCTCTGTTGGTAGAAGATAGAAAAGGAGTAGCTCCCTCGTCCACCACCGACAGACCTCAAAACGGGAACCATCTATCACCAGCTTACAAACAAAAGTGAGGGTATCACGGGAGGCACTGCCAACTCTGACCCATTCTGACCCACACTGTTTGAAGCTTTTTTCGTAGCGTCTTGTTCCTAGTAATGCCAGGAGCCCCTAGTAACGTCCTTGTTACTACTAGTAAGGCACTTGTTACTAGAAGCGATGCACTTGTTCCTAGTAGCGATGCACTTGTTCCTAGTTTGAACAGATGTTTCTACATTCGACTTTCTAGGCCTGTGATGAGCCTCCCGACTGGCCCAGTGATCTTCAGTGGTGAAGCGAACTGCGACCTGGACCAGAAAAGTCGAGCAGTCGTCAATCTTGGAAGGCTTTGGCTTCGTAAATGGTATGAAGATCTTAGTTTTGGTATCATGGACAGTGACATTTGGCTCAAGAATGATGCCAATAATGTCAATGTGTTTTCCTTTTCAGCATCATTTTTCTTCAGTGGTCTGCATCCTGCCTCCGGTGCCTGCAACAAGGTTGGCCCTTCCCACATCCTTGGGGACCGGAGCCCTTTGTGTGTGGGCTCCAAGGGCTCTCCAAGGGCTGCGCGAACCGCGCGAATTGGAGCCCTGCTTAGCATCCGCATTTTTCCGGGTCCACTCAGGCACTTCGGAGACGACTTGATCCGGCGGTTGGACCACCTGAGGTCCGGGGACTATCGACCCAACTTCATGTACCAGTACGAGCAACGTGAGATGCGTGGGAAGGAGGCGTGAACGGCATTGGTATGCATTTCTTCAATTTGAGATTACCTGACATGACTTCTTTGCATGGCCCAATTTGTCGAGGTGAACTGCTTTGCTTTGGGCTTCGGCTTCGATGTCGTTGGCGGCCCAATCGAGGTTTGCACCTTTTGGCGGCACCACATGGTCCACCCATCGAGAGTCATTGGTCGAGATGGGCACAACCGCACGCAGGCGGGACGACGGTGACAGGTCATGGTATTTGACGCATCCAAATGTGACACGCCGAGAATCCATCGGAGACATGGTATTTGACTTAGACTCTTGATCAAAAAAACCTCCCTTTGAATCAGGATGTTCATTTCAACTTGGGGGGGTCTATTAATCAAGAGTCTACATTATTTGACTTTTAAACTTAGGGGCATCGAGGAGTCACACAACATCCTCCGCTAGTTAGGCCAAAAGCCCTCCTAACTAGCTCTAAAATGCCCTTCCGACCTCCTCGGTCATGTCTTTCTGGGACCCGCGCCGGCCTTCCGACCGACCTGCACAGAGGTGCTGCCGGTCTTTTTGCCCTTCCTAAACAGTGGCGTCTTTATGGGACGAGCTTCTGCCTCAGACGAGCTTCGCTATGAACTCGTGGCGACACTGACATGAACTCGTGGCCTGGTCCGTTCAACCAAAGTTGAAAAAAACAACTGAGCTCTGTTGTTGTTTGTATATGTTTTCCTTCAGCATCAGTTTTCTTATTCTGCTACTGCTTATCATCTTTCTTTCTTTGTGTTTTTTTTCCTTTTCCTTTTGCTCTAGACCCGTGGCAGCTTCCCCATGTCTCGATCCTTCAAGTGTGCTGCGTGTCCTTCTTTGAAGCCTCATTTCGCATCGAACAATCAGCCCTTCACCCTCCGAGACAAAGAACTTGTTTCGTTCTTTTGCATCTTCACCTTTGTTTTTTGTCCCCTTTGTTCCGAAACAAGGCCAGAAGCCTACAGCAGCTCTTTGCCTTCACGACGGAAGTGCTCCTACGCTTCGGTGACTTCGACGATCAGGTGACGTGGCGACGTATGATACAGTGGTGAACGGATGTGTGGTGGTTTGGGTTGACTTCGCTGGTGCTCGCTTTCCCACCGGCCTCAAGGTGCTTCAAGTTTACTTCCCCTAATTAGACCAGCAGACCTCTTGCAGTACCTCTTGCGTGCGCGGTTTGGTCGAGGCTCTGATCACTGTTGCCGCCCTGCATGCCAAGTTCTTGAGAAGACCCTGGGCCGCGGGGCCCAGTTCGACAGACTCTGGTACCGCGGGGTCTTACCCCCAGAGCTTCATATCCCGAAGCCTGCCCTGTTGCCAGGCAGGATTTACCAGATTCTGATTGGGTTGGCAGCTTCATATATTACTGTGGCAGCAGATTTGAACATGAATTGTCACAAAAAAGGGAACTGTCCTTGTTTGGATTCGTTGGATTAGTCAAAGGTAAATTACCAGACGCGAAACTGATTTTCAACTGCTCTCCTCCATGGCTGCCTGCAGTGGCAAGCTTGTGGTTCTTACCAAAAGGAATGATTGAAGCATGCACGGCTACAAGCCAGTCCTTGGGCGCTCAAAGGAACAATAAGCAACTGACCAAATGCTTCATGCTCCAGCGCAGCTCCGTGCCCAGGTCCCCTTGCAAGTGGTGGCTCCGGCGAACTTTGTGGTGACTGGATTTCACGGATTGATTCGGTTCAAGAAGACGCCCGTTGTGTGGCCGCCGGTGCCCCCAGTGTGCCCCCCATGTCAGGACCACTCAGGTGAGCTCTTTGCATCCCTCCATGGACTCTCACCGGAGCGTTTGTCCAATGATCTCAAAGCACCTCCCGTGCGAAACTCAGATCTTTGTGGGGGAGGTTGAGGACGGGTGAGAGGTTAAGACTGTCACTGTCAGTGCATAGAAGTCATGTCATTTGTTTTCCAGACATTACATATATGCACATGCATGCATGCATGATGTTATCATGTTTTTTAATCTACTTCGAGAGTCACGAGATCTTGGCTGGTCGATCTCAATCAGAGTGTTCTTTGCGACTGCCTGTCGCTGCAAGGCCTGCGATTTCAATGGCAGAGTGGTTGGCACCTCAATGTCCGCGTGCGGATCCGATCCTTCGATGGATACAGTATACAATTGAATCGAAGCGGCACGGGCTTCCGAGGATCATGGCTTCTTCAAAGCAGGGAGCCGGCCTGGCCCATGGGACCGGGGTACTCACGGTGGGATGAGTGGCGGGAGGTGCTGGGTGTTATTGTGTGACTTGCAGTTGTATTAGGATCCGGATGCTGCGATATATGTTTCAGTGTTTCAGATAAGGGACACAGCAGAGTCTCTCGGGCATGTTGACATGATACCAAAAGTTGCTTATATGTTCTCGCTAGATCTCGCTCGTAGGTTGGAGGCCATGACCATTAGGTTCCTTAAGGTGGCAACGGTGAAGATGGTGAACATGCTGCCGAGGCCGCGGCGGCAAAGCAGATGGAGCTTCGAGAACTTCGAGGCAGCGATGTCTGCGATGTCTGACCTCCGGGGTCTCCTCACTGTGTGTGGAAGCATACTCCTCACAATGTGGTGGTTAGGTGTTTTTTTCGTTAGGGGCTGAATCATTCGCAAAGAAAAGACACCGAAAAACACCTGCCTGATTGCAGACATGTCCTTTTGGAAACCCATGTTTGGGAAAGAAAAGCCAACAACTGTTGTTTCCAGCTGCCTTGAAGGCACCATTCCGCCCAAATCGGCCACCGCCCTTGATTGACTTGCACTCAGATGGTGGGTCAGACTGGAGCGAAGATGGTCGTTGCTTCAATCAACAGAAACAAGGTCTTCAGGTCTTACTTACTCGCCAGCCTTGGGTTTCAAATCTCATTAACTCATGGTCTTACTCGCCTCATGGTCAACATGGATCTCAGAAAACGAGACAGCATGTTCTGATCGCACAATCGGATTTACCATAAGCAGCGGCCAAACCACGTCTTCAAGATCGCCCTCCGCCACCCACGACCCTATCGCCTTGCTTTCCAACGGGTGAAAGCCCACTACCAGCCGGTCTCAGCCCACCAAACCACGTCTGAAACGAGCGCGAGAGTTCCTCGCCCGGAAGCGTTTGATCCGGTCTCAGTGGCATTTCAACGGCGACAAGAAGGAATACTTCGAGACGAAGTGTCATGAATCTGTGGCCATGGAGGCGACGGACAACCGGGGTGGTGCGGTAAAGGGGGGTGCAGAAGATATGACCTGGGTTGCTTGCAGTACTTACTGAGTGGCTTACAGTAACTATAGAAAATGCATACCATAGAACATGGTTACTGGTGGCTTACTAGAAAGAACTGGTGGCTTCATAGTTTCTGGAGGCGTTACTACTTCATAAAACAGAACATATTAACCATACTTATTCTTCTGGCCGCTGTTTCGCCGTGATCCGCGCGGTTTCGCCGCAGCAAGGGTGAGGCCTTCGAACTGGATGTGCCTGGCCCTTGCTAGCTGCTAGCTGGCCCACTCAACAACTCTACGTGACTGTACCTCCCCTGTACCTCCACGCGCCAAAGAATTGTGGCTGTGTGCGCACAGATCGTGCCCACCTTGAATGAGAAAAAGGGTGTGGGGTGTGGCTATGCGACCCTTCCAGGGTCTAAGTGGCGAGGAGGTGCAGGATTTCGTCCATCAGCATGTCTAGAGATGTCCAATGTGGGCACCCCAAAGATGGGAAGAAACCGATGCCAAAACGGCACCTGCTTTCATTCATCGATTCCCTGCTAGGCCTCGCTGATGGGACACCTGGGCCACTGCCTGATGCCCAAGAGTGCACTGCCTGACCGCTCTCTTTCGGTGTTCGATCCATTTGCCCAAAGACCAGAGAGGATGGAAGACAACTTAGTTGTTTTTTTTCCCAGGTGATTGCGATCCGTGCCAGTACGTCGTGATTGCGTTAGTCAAATTCGAGCTTATCATATAGTTTAGCATAGTAACTTCGTCACTCTCTTAGCGGTCAATGCCATCCAGGCGTTCTCGATTGGACTCCAGGCGTTCTCATGGATGTGGACCATGAGAGGGAGCTTTACTTTCTGGTCCAAGGACCTCAGGAGAGCGGTCTTGAACTGCCGGTTTCCTGCGGAGAGAGGAAGCAAGGCCACACGGGAGGCCGACCGTCTCTCTGTGCGAGTTCCGTGCGTGCGTTCCGTGTCTTCGCCGTGTTTTGAGGGCTTGCTTGCGGATGAAGTGCAGAGAATTCTCTTGCGTTTTCTGATTTCTGTATGAATTTTCTACTCTTCAACAGCTTCACAAAATGCGTCAATCCCAAAAACGACCGCATGTGACCAGCATTTGCAGGAGACCGATGTGCAAAGCCGCAAGGCGCTGTCTCTGCGATTCCCTTTTTTCTGCGTATCAAACGCTTCAAGCAGGCGGAGGTTGTCTAAGCTCTCCATGCAGCCATCGACGAAGGGCTGCTTGTTGGCTTCACTTGCAGCATGTTCAATCCACCTGTTGCTTGCAGGTTGCCTGGCACAGGCTTGATGGGTTGAAAATGGTTGAAACATGCTTCTCGTACTCCCGAAGCACTATGGAAAACCCATGAACGTGTGTCTCTGAGGAAGGGTGGCCAATTTGGCATGGAATGTTCTCGTTCGAACGAACACTTTCCGTTGATGTCCCACTTGGTTTCCGAGTTGATGTCCCACTTGGTCCTTCTGGACACATCAACTCCAGGCTTTGCAGGAGAACTCCAGCTCCACCACATTTGACTCAGTTGGCGGCCATCATGGCGGAGTCGAGGTCGACCGTGTGGCAGGTCGGACGGATCATCAGAAAACAGCAACAGTGGGGCGGCAGGCTGCGCCAGTGGCTGCGCCTCGACTCTTACATCCAAGCAATTGTTGGCCATAGAAAACAGGGGCCTGATACCAAAGCTGGGTCTTCTGCTGGGATATTTAACCAGGCTAGCGCCTGGCAGCGCTGACCCCCAGGGAAGCGGATGGCCTAGGTTTAATGGGTTAAGAGTTTTTTTCGCAAAATCGGGGAACCCAAAAAACAACACGGAACCCCTAGAGACATGATCTGTCACTGCATCACCGAGGTAGGCAGAAGAGAGCACGGCAAATGGGTTAGCATTTTTCTTTGAAAACCTGGGAACCCAAAAGCCTCCACCGGCACACTTGCAGAATGCGAGCACAGCACTAGAAAAGAGCAGAAAAAGCTTGCACGTGCGGAGCGCATAGAGGAGAAACTCCTAGAAAAAATCCTCGAAAACACCTTAGAAAAAAAGAGTGGAAAATCTCAGGAAACCACATAACTTCCTAGAAAAACCATAGAAAATCCTGGAAAGACCCTCGAAAAAGGCATGAGTAAATCTTACAAAAACCTTTGAACATCCTAGAAATCCAGCAGAAAACGTTACAAAATCTAGGAAAAGCCAAGGGCACTGGCAGGGACCAGGCCGCAACCAGGCCGGGATTCGAGCCCGGGACCATTTAGGGACCGTGCTTATTTTCCCCCGTGGGTGGAGAGGGTGCCCCAAGATGTAAATCAATTGGAATGGAGAAATCTTGGACAATTTTTGGGCTAATTCTTGGCTAATTTCGCGACCTTTTCGTCACTTAAGCCAAGCTCCGAAGGGGTAGGGGAGGTATAGCCTTAGCCTTTACTTATATGATTAGCCTTAGCCTTATCCGTTCCCGGTCTTTTTATCAACAGTCACACCGGGGTCGGCGGATTCCTTCTTCAAAGCCTATCCTGACACCTTGGGTTGCATTTGGGTCCAGGTCATTCACAACTTGCTTGTACAACTTTGCCGAAGTCCTGTGATGGCTCGCTTCCTCAGTTTCAATCTGGAGAATGCGGGAAGCAAGGATTTGACTGAATAAAGATCAAGAACCAGCCATGTTGTCATGGGAAAACATGCTTTCAGCATGCGAAAGCCATCGGTCTGGTTCGGTCAGACGTTCGGTAAGAGTGTCATGAAAAGATCTTTTGCTATCATCACCTTTACACAATGCAACCCAAATTTTGCAGCACTGAAGTCAGCAACCACCCAAACCGGATGAAGGAAGCACGGATCGCGTACGGTTCCCCCCGGGCACGTCCCGTAATTCCGTCCAATTGTTAAACAATTCGATGAAGCGCCGACTAAGCGACTAACCGATTCGATAAAGCGGTGATGCTGTTATTAGCACTGCTACTACTGCTCCTTTTACTACTATTCATGTGGAATTTGGTTTCTACTGTTGCAAGATATCACTGGTATGTTCATCCATCATACCACGCCGCTACCATGCCTCATTGAAGTTTGTGGTGCAACACCTGAGGGAGAATGAACACCACTTTTGTCTTTGTAGACATACTTGCGCTTCACAGGATTGCCTATTTAGTGCTCACCAAGAAGGATCAACGCTCACATTGGCATTCAACAGCTTTTTCATTGACACGACTGTTTCATGCAATCATTGAAACTCAGTGGAGGGAGAGAGAGAGTTCTCTCCAAGGTGAGCTACATCAGCGTGAGTGACCCCTTTACGAAGATGCATGAAAGGCTGGATGCAGCTGAGACTGTGTGTGTACACCTTGCACAGCTTGCCTTTTGGCATAGCCTGGGGACCAGGCAGACGGTTGATTCGTCGTGAAGCTGGCGATGTACCAAGGGTGGCCCCGAAACCACCAGCGTTCACGAGCATTCTCAGCTGCCCCATCTCGTGCGATTCGTGCGAGGACTTGTGGATATCATCCACTTCATTGGCCGGGAGCCTCTTCAGGCAAGAAGCTACTAGTGGCTCCTGGCATCGCTACTAGGAGCAAGGGCGCTACTACGGGATCCTGGCCTTACTACTAGGAGCAAGGACGCTACTAGGGGCTCCTGGCCTTACTACTAGGAGCAAGACTCAATGACTTGAAAGTCTGGTAGTAATTCGATGCCAGCTGAGCAGGCGGCCAGACAGGACCATCACTGTTGGTTACTTAACCATACTTATATAACCCAGTTGCACAAAACGATCCGCTCATACATACTGAGGTTAGACCTTGACTCCACGTCAGCCACAAGGAGAAGTCGTGACAAGAAATGGTGATCGAATTGTTTTCATGACTTGCCAGAAAGAAGTGTAATTAACAAGCATGCTGCTCTTCCTGAGAACTTCAAAATGCCAACCAGGTTTGTGAAAGTGAACCCATCAATCTACGAACCCTGTTTTTGTTGGTAGGTCGTGCCACTCCCAACTCCCGAGTGGCACGGCTGGTAGCCTTTCAGCCTTTCAGCCTTTGCCGTCACCATCACGAGTAGGATTGACGGAACCATTTGAAGACGTTGTGATAGCATATGGACTGCGCTCAAAAAGCCCTACTCAATAAATATAGATAAACGTAAACGTTTAAGGTTGGAGATATGTTTTTAAGTCTTTGTTTAGAAGCGGGCCCCCAGCAGACTATGGTGATACAGCAAGGCAGCGCTAGATTGGCGCTAGGTTGGGGCTAGATTTCTTCATAACAGGATAAGCAAGCAGGACAAAGAAACAAGCAGAGAGCAGGAAAAAGAAGAAGCAAGACAAGAAAAATACAAACAACGCAGAAGAAGAAGAATAATGCGCAACAAGAAGAAGAAGACAAGCAAGCAGGAAACATAAGAATCTGACAGGATAAAGAAATCGACGGATATTTTTGCGCTAGGCTGGCGCTGGATCCGCGCTAGCACCGCGCTAGACGACGGTCCATTTCCTAACCAGTTTCCACTTGCCCATCCAACATCCAAATCTTTTGAGTCAGCTCTTACATCCTTCCTATGTCATCCGGAAGATTTCTGAGAACGAAAATGGGAAAGCCCAGCAGCAGCAGTAGCAGCAACGACAGCTCCAGTAGCTCAACAGGCCCCTGAAAAGGTCCGCGCTAGACACCTCTCACAGTTTTTGTAGTTGACATGCTTTCATGTTTTGCTTAAAGGAGACTTAGAAGCGGGCCCCCATGGAATTGCGATGAGCGCACCATTTTTGGGAAAAGACATTTTGGAAACCAACCATATGTGTCCTTGGCTTTGAGGGCAATCCAAGTCGACTTGACTGCTTAGTATCTCAGGATGGCCTGGCAAGACACTTTGCGGTTGCGATCCGAGAGCCAAGAGGCCGAGAGCCAGGCCCTATAGGCCCCAAAAGGCCAAGCTGGCCCTGAATGCGAATAGGCCAAGCTCAGGGAGCTGAACCTAAAACTATGGCTGTTCACTTGATTGAAGCGGCACTCGTGAGGCAAAAACTGTTTGATGAGGTTGTTTTTTCCAAATCCCAATGGAGTCACTGGACCTGTCGACGTGGGATGTTGCAAGAGTCTAAGAGCAGTCTCTGAGCATGAGAGAGCCAGGCGGAGGTGCCAGACCAACACACAGACCCTGCTTGCATCCTGGTGGACAGCACCGCGAAATGCCAGCTGCGATCCCAGCTGTGTTAGACCAGGTGGATCCTTTTCACCAGCTGCTGCTCCTGTGGATTAACTGAATGATTCGTCCTGCCTCGATTACCATCCAGGACACTCCAGTAGATAGTCTTCTGCTGCATTTTCTCTGAGGTTTGAACCTGATTGGGAGGCATACTGCTCGTTGCATGGGCCCAAGTGTTTGATTATGCATCATTTGCCGGCAAGGTTGACTAGGCCTTTGCATATTGTGTTCTTTTTGAAATATATCTTAATATATAGCTTGTTTGAAGCATTGCAGCCAATAATTCAGGCCAATTCTAGAGTTGACCGTCCAAAACAACAACTTCGCTCTTCACATTTTATGATGCTAATGATTGAACCTTCAGCATAGCTTTAAATTGCAACGATGCTAATGATTGAACCTTCAGCATAGCTTTAAATTGCAACACATTGCTGTAGCCACAGCCAATAGTTTGGCAAGTTGCACCTTTGCTGAAGAGCTTGTTATTGTTTGAAAGCCAATGTACGTACAATGGGGACGAGATTAGAAGGGAATTATTGTCACATACATATTGTATCGCATTGTCCATCTTTTTCTGCCTCTTCTTTGGACTTACACCGTCAGACGTTTCCTTGTTTTCAGACCGTGTTTCTTTTACCTTTTTCTTTGGACCTTTACTGTAGACCTTTTGGTTGTTCATTATTTTCTCTGTTTATGTTTGCAGGTAACCATACTTAAGGTTTTGGTAGTCAGGTTGACAAACAGTTTGGATGCTTTGAGAAGGCAACAGCAAGAACGACATTTCAGGATCTTTTTCACTTTTGTTCGTCATAGACACTCCGTTACTTGAAAAAAAAGAAAACACCGACTCAGGTGGGCTGCGGTCAACGCCACCTGGTCGTGCCTTCCGCCTCTTGGCGCGGTCAACTCCAATCGTGTTCTTCGGATTGCATGGGCAACAGGTGTTTTTCGGATGGCGTCCAGGATTGGTTGTTCTCTTGAGTCGATTGCAGATTCAAAGAAACTGTGTGAAATGTGATTCCAGACCAAGGGACGTGGTGTTGAAAGGGGTTCCTTTCCAACTGAACCTGAAAGCGAAGGCCCTACGGCATGAATTCCAGTGGCTTGATGATGACCATCTTTCACGGGGAGGACTTTCAGGCTGGGAGGACATGGTTTTCACAAGAAGTTGGGCCAGCAGATGTCAGCAGTACATGTTGTGATTCGCTGAAGCCGGGCTTAGCGCTAGCAGCTGTACATGTTTGAGACAGTGCGACGTCGGCAGGAGTTCTTTTCCGAAGATCAGGCAGAACCCACTCGGTGACGGCCGAAGAAGCGCACGGCGGGCGACGCACACGACGCAGTCGAAGACCACCGAATCGCGGCCGAATCCCCCACATGAATGCGACAATTCCATACGAAACACTGCGAGTGCTTCTCTTTGCTTGCAATCTCCAGTTCGATCAGGGCGTTTTTTTGGCGTCCGTTCGACACAACTTGCAGGTGAAGACCTCCAATCTCCAAGCTGTTAGGTGTGGACATCCAGTTCAATTGACCTTGATAGTGGAGGTTGTCCTGAGATCGAGTGGACAAGATCTGCTGGACACCATGAGCGTTGCAATTTTGTGTTCTTCATGGAAACCCAGGCTGGCGGAAGCTCGTATGGCTGGATGTGTGTCCAGGCGTGACGCAACAGTTGGAACATGCTGGACCTGGAAGTAGCGATCGACTCCAAGAGCGATGGCCTCCAAACGAATTAGTACCAGTTGGCCTCGAAGGTGTTGGGCCGTCCTGATACAATCCTGTTGCCACACTGGCCAGCCCTTTAAAAAGACTTTCGATCGAGTCCGTACTGATTCGCTTCTCTTTCGCGTGCTTTTGGCTCCAAAAAGAGCAGCATGCTCGTAGTACTTGGTGGTGAACACATGGGTGTTTTGTTGTCACACATCTTGACACAGCTTAAGAGTGAAGAAATGCAGTTGCCAGAATGGCATGCGGCATAGTACCGCATGAATTCAGGTGGATTCCCATGCTTCTCACTATTTCAAATTTTAAGGCACAGAACAACACCTGGAAGCCATGGCGCTTCGTGTTGTCAACATGGCAGGTGAAGCAATCTTGGAGTCCAACTTGGAATCTGAATCTTTGGAAGATTCTCCAGACTTTGCCAGCCACTCTGATCATGAGGGAGTCGACAGACCTGACAGACCTTTCCTCCCGATCATGGATGTGTTTTTGCTCCTTCCTTCCTTCCTTCCTTCCTTGCCCTTGCTTGCCATTCCTTGCCAACTGTCAGATGGTCAAACTGTAGGACCAGAAGACCAGAAAGACTGCAGATGTTTGATCATGTTTAGCTGTAGGACAAACCATGCTGGTCTACCAAATGCACTTTTTGTAATTGTTGTGAGACTCCTTTTCAGGTGCTGAAACCTGAATCAATTAATTGAATTTAATTGGGCTGTGACCCTTCAAATCCTGTCGAAACATCTTGGCCAGCGATTCAACCTCGCGACTGAGAGTGCAGATGCGGGTAGCGACCGTCGTTACTTCGTTCGGTACTGCGTGCGGTAGACCGTCTTGTCTCAGGTTACGTGAAGGATCTCGTACAAGAGAAGACGGGCTTCCCACGCTTCCGCCTCACCTTACTTCTGGACGGTGGGAAGTCTTGGGAAGAACTCGGACACCCTCGAGAAATCCAAGCAGTTCCTTGGACAGACGGGATGGATTTTTCCTTCAGGAGGAACGGATTCTTCAACTGTTTTTCACGCAAATGACGAAACTGATGATGTTCCTTGAGCAACTGATTCTTCGATCTGTTTTTCACATACGAAGAACTGCAGTTCGAACTGCCGTCACCGTCGTAAAACCGTGCGATGCTCAGCAGGTCCGGAACCAAGCTGCCACAGACATGGCCGATGAACTGATGTGCCTGGGGCTGCACTGGCTATACTGGCTGAAACACAGACATGTGACCTATATGGTGTTGCAGACCGCTCATCATAAAATGAACGCACTGCTCTCTTGCTGACATCCAGTCTTCGCCAGCACGAGACTGGACCAAAGTCGGGTGCACAGCTTGGTGCATCAAGTTCAGTCCCTCCAGTTCTCAGTCTTTGAGAACCAGTGTGTCACGTTATCCAGTAACAAGTGCCTTACTAGTAGTAACAATAAGCTACTAGTAACAAGTGCCTTACTACTAGGAACAAGAAGCTAGTAGTAACAAGTGCCACGCTACTAGTAGCAAGTGCCTTACTACTCAAACGACTCAGGATGGCGATCTACCAAAAAGACGCAGAGCGAGCGCGTGGGGTTCTGGAGCCACTTGGTTCCAGCGTAGAGCGCGAGCGCGTGGAGCGTTTCTCGTGTCGCGAGCACGGACTTGGTCGAAATGGGAGATGAAAACGTTGACGTGATAGAAATGAAATGAGAGATGAAGGCCGCAGCCTCACCAGCCCAAATAATGTAGATGCATCGATGTTGTTTGCAAGAAGCAGTCGGCCTCAGAATCCACCAAGAAAGACTCATCAGGTATGGATGCTGCTGGTATGACTTTTTGTCGCGAAGCACGCACATTTTTCCCAGGCAACGCCAAGATCCGAATTGTCAAGATGCTGATGGGCACCCTGCCATCATGGTCGCTGCAGCTGTAGGATCCCGAGATATCTTGGAGATGCTATTGCAGGTGGGCTTAACATATTCAGAGATGATGGAAAACATTTGTGAGAGATCTGATGTTTCCACCAAGGTGTGCATCCATCATTAAATCCCAACTAGTGCTCGAAAGAAGATTAAGACGTGTCCAGGATTGTCCAGGCGTTTGCCACCAGTTATCGAAGTCTCGAAGAGAAAAACTGAAGTTCCAAGTGACCTCAGACTTACTTTTGTGCAACATTCTGGGAAGATTAACTTACACTCTGACTCACTAACATGGAAGTGGAAAATGGGACCCTGGAACACTGCTATCCTCTACAAACAGGGGGTTTTCCACTTCCATGTTAGTGAGTCAAAGTGTAGTGGCACACGTCTATTGAAACCCTTAAACAAACCTGTCCCAGGCAGGTGCCGATTCAACCGCTGTAGACGAATTGCTTGAAACAGCTTTACATGCTGCAGCTGAAGCCGGGCAACTGGAGTGTGCTGAAGTGCTCCTGGAGAATGGTGAGACACTCCAGTTGGTGAATCAACCACAGGAGGCAGGTTTGACCCCGTTGCATATGGCTTCCCGGAATGGTCATGTCGAAATGATTCGTTTGTTGCTGGACTTCGGCGCATGTCGAGATGCCCGCGACCACATGGGTGTGAATGCATTGCACGTTGCTGCCGAGTATGGCCAAGAGGAGGTGGTGGAATTTCTACTGGAGATCGGGATGGATATCGAGGCTCAACATATCTCAACAAGCCTTGAGAAATATGTGAAAAGACGGGCCATGTTGAACATAGTTGAACCAGCTGCATCAAGTTTTTCAGTCATGAAAGGCCCTCAGGCAAGCGCTGCATAGTGATAAAGCATGCTAAACCCAGAATTGCCAGTGCATCCACCGTGGAAAACCCCACCGAATCCGATGGTGACGTGACGCCCTTCGGCAAAGGCAACAGAAGAGGCAGGTGCGACAGCTCTCTATTTGGCGGCTGAGAATGGTCAACTCTCAGTGGTCAAGGCCCTTGTGGAAGCTGGAGCTGAAAAGAATGCTGCAGATGAGGCAGGCGCTACAGCAACTGGGAGCTGCATCCCAGTAACCTCAAGTGGAATTTCATTCACGGCAGGAAATTGACCAAAATATTCATTTAGGGGAGGAACGGAACGATGCTGGAATTCCGCTGATCTGACTTTTCGATGTTTCACCGGGAAAAGGGGCATTTTTAGGATTGGCATCCTGGGGACGCAACACCGAAAGTGCACACGGTCAGCTGGAACAAACGAAGGCAACACCAGACATCAGACCACTACACTCCTTGGAACTCACTACTCCCTGTCAGCGCGGAGAATGACCATGAATGACCCCGAGTTCGGAAGACCATGAAATCCACGAACCACACGAACCATGGCACAGTGCCACTGTTAGTGCCATCCACGTAACCATGTTAGTTCCAGTAGTTCACCACTTCGCAAGTGAGGCATTGTATACCGCATGCCAGTACGGTCACGCAGATGTGGTGGGGAATCTCGGTGCATCTCAACAGCTTTTTCATGTGTGTTTTTTTCCCCTTTTCAGCTCCTCCAAGACAGAGAGGAGTGTGCTTGGTGTTGTGATGGCCATGTTGAGTATTTCAGAATCAAAACTATTCAAGATGGTGTTGGCCATGGAGCGTCATTCTTCACAGATTCCTGCAGGTATTTGGTGTCAGCAGGTGCTGACCGGAGAAAGTCGAAGAAGTATGGAGGTAGCCCAATGAGCATCGCAACATGTCGTGGTCATATCAAGGTTCTTGATGTCTTGGAAGGCTCCCCACGACGCAGCGATCTTCTTAAAGAGATCGCAGCACTTTTGGCGCATCGCGAAGACGCATGTCGCTGAGCGAGCCGCGTCGTCGGCTCACGCTCGACCGGGGTGTTTTCGACGGGTCCCCCCCCGGTGGTTTCACACGATTTGACAGCCCGGCCGATGTCGGGATGATGTTAGTTCGGTCAAGTGTAAGGCCAGAAAGCGTGTGGCGGCGACTGCTTGCGGCGACTTCATTGGGGAATGGACACTATGGACAATACACGGGTGGAACAGCAAATGATTCAATCTGACCCCAAACAGAAAAAAGAAGCTGAGCTTCTCCGCATGTTGAGCGCTTTTGGAGCAATTCCAGCCCTGCTAGGCCCACCCTGTCACCAGCGCCATGTCGAGGACAAGCAGCTGTGGGCTTAGAAGTCGGGCGCAGCTTGGTGAAACCTCAGGAAAGATAAGACACACGTTTTGACATGAAGCTAGGTAACAGGACAAGGAGGGATCAAGTTTAATTTGCTCATCAAGGGATTCTAGAGGGCGATTGCAAGCGATTGCAAGCAACTCTTACACTTTAAGATTCTGGTCTCATGTTGTCACATGCTTCTCATGGATCAGGCGGCGGATTTCGCGACACTTCTCCCGCCATGGGAGGCTTGTGCGTGTTGGATCGATCATATGGTTAGATGTATTTTCCTCATGACATCGATTCATGGAAGACATCATGACAAGATTAGATCTGTTCCTTATCAATAGTTTCATCATTGCAATGTACAATGAGATTGCAAGGCATCTCATTTTAAATGGCATCATTTTGATAATATGGGAATAATGATTGTTAAAAATACTTATATATATATATATATGTGTGGCAGGGACCTTTTGGTAACATTTCGTTGCGGATGAAAAGCACCGGCACATTTCTCACTAGCGCGCACAGGTCTCATTTGCCCATGCCACCACGCACAGGGGAAGGAGAAACCGGACGTCGCGGGTCCTTAGATCGGTTTCTCATTGTTTTTCATTGTTCAATTATTGCACATGTATATTGGGAAGCATGCGTTGCAACTAATGAATCAGCCAAAGCGTCGTCCACTGATCTCTGGCCTGTGTGAAAATTCTCCCAGTAGAACACTCCTGGCTTTGTGCCTTGGATACAAGCGCTGATGGCTGATGGTTCCCGAAGCCTAGAACGGTTGGCATGACGTTCAAAAGCTTGTTACGCTTTTCAAAAGAGTACGGCCGCTTTTGCGTTCAAGCCAGGCTGCGGCTTTCGATCTTGCGCCAGCTCAAGTTGTACGCCTTTTCCTCACAAAGGTACCGATTGAAAAATCTTTTCGATAACCATCAACCGGATTGATTCCCGCGCAGATATGAACATAGTGTTTGGTGAATTCAATTCATGAGTGGCTTCGTGCCAAAACAAATGAGGCTCCCAAAAGCCACGTGATCATACGGTTGAAAGAGTTAAAAGAATGTCTCCGTCATTTTCGCATGCCAATCATCCTTGCGTCTTTGCAACGCGTCGAACCATCCTTTGGAAGGGACAGAGGCCTCCACCATTTCCTCAGCGTGCAACTCTGAAACGCCCAGGGCGCATTGATTGAATTGTTTGTCCATGTCGGGCCGCCAGAAATATGTTGATTTGAGCGTTAAACAAAAGTTCCTGCAACTCCGTAACTTGCCCGCAATTCTGCCAAATCTGAGACCCTGGCGTGCCATCTGGGCTTGAAGCCCCTGCCAGGTGGTGCGGATGTAAATGGTCTACGCAGGTAAACTGTAAAGAAAGAGCCACTCTTGCAAAGCAATACATGTTCTTTTTGGTGGCTAGAATCAGACTCTGCTCCACATGGATTGTGAAACTAACAAGCGCAAAACACAAGCCAGAGCACAAACCTATGTACGTTTTTGTTGAAGCATCAGCTTTCGTAAGCTCAACAAATCATATGTTTCTATGTTCGCTCGGCACCATAGTTCTAGTTTCTCTTTGGAGCGGCGTCCTACACCACCGGAGTATGGATTTCGTTGCCCGACTCACCTTTCTGCACCCGGAATACAATCCGACGGGTCTAAAGCATTGTCTCCCCAACGACGCACTGGCCTTGCCACCGTGGACACCATATACATCGACGGGTCCCGTAGCTCCTGGATGGGGCAACCACATACCATGACTTACAAAAAAGAATAAGCATGAATAGCACGTATATTGTTGATGCTTTGACAGTTTGCATGGCTTTTGAAGAGTTTGTTTGCTTTTGTTGTGTTTACTCTTCTTCACACTCCGCAGACCTTCGCAGGACAATGATACTTGGCTAAGATCCTTTATCTAAGCTTACTGTTCTGCTTCGACTCTTCACCTCCACCTCGCCAGATCCCCGATTCGACGAAGCGGGTGTCCTTGGACTTCTCAAGGGCAAACTCCAAGAGCTTTGCCGCATGCTGTGGCGGAAGGCCTGGGACATCGCAAACATCCGATGGTTAAAAACACAAAACAAACAATGCACTTCCAAGTCTGTCAAAAGAAGTCCTTCATCAAAAGGATTCTGATCAAAACCTTTCAACCAGCTCTGCTGCATTCTCATGACTCAAAGCAAAAACACAAGCTTTCAACTGTGGGGAACTTGAAATCTCCGGCCAGTAAAAGATATAGAGCACCAGCTGTAAGAATTTAATTTGATTGTCATGGAGGAGTCGAATTAAAAATGCAGCGGAGCGCAATCTCAGAATCCACAACTGAGTGTTGACTCTAACATCATAGGGATCCGGAAACAAGTCCACAAGCTTCTGGTGCCGGGTGAGGAGTTCAACAAAAGGCATCATTCCTAGCTGACATGCAGCCAACTGTTTGCAGACCCGTTCGGACTGGTCAAGCAGGCGCCACTCTCTGACCGCAGGAACCGGTCCATACTGCCCTGAGCCTTCGATGAGTTTCTCTAGGCTTTCCTCCCCGTGAAAGCTGGCAAATGTTTCGAGCGCTAAAAGCATTTCGATGTGATAGAAACGCTGTGGCAGGCGAGAATCTGTGGACGACATCCAAGCTGGCAGGCATAGCAAATGCAAAAAGTGAATAGCTTCAGCCATGTGCCTTAGGTGGCTTTGTCGAGAGGTCTTGTCAAAGCAACTGGATACGAACAACATGTCCGTCATGTACGGGTTGCAGCGGACTTCATTGAAAAAGAAAGCGAAGAGGGAGAACTCCAGCAGTTTCAGCTTCTGATCTCTCAGTAAGCGTAAAAAGAATCCAGTCGAACGCAATCTAAACTCCCAGAGCTTTGCGTCACCATCTGCATCCAAGGGATTAGGAGCGATCCAGAACAAATGGGGATGTTCTGCAAGGACTGACTCCACCAGACTCATTTCCTTTTGGTACGCAGCCAACTGCCGAAGAGCCACCCTAAGATCACAAGGCGGAGTTGCCGGAAAGCAGAAACGCAAGCGGAGGACATCTTGTGGCCTCGATGCTGAAGGTCCTTAGATAGTGGCACATGGATGTAAGAAAGAATAGAAAACTTTCTGATTAAGTCGCTGCGGAAAAAAAGAACATGGATTGAACATGTCACATGTCCGAGCTTCCACCTCCCAAAGCGTCACTGGAAGAAACCGATTGATGTAACCACCTCCTACCCTCTGAGCGCAAAAGCCTCCTGCTTTCGAGGCATGCAGCTTCCCATCTTCTCTTTGATGTGCTAAGGAATGGGTTTGGAAAAGCAATGACTAGGCTCACCCTTTCTGATGTGCCTACACTGCACTGCCTCAGAAAGGACATGTAGACTGCTAGCCTCTTCTTGCTGTGTGCGACTGCACGCTGCTCAAGGTTTTCTGGCAAAGGCAAGTGGCTAGCGAAAAGCTGTCTAATTTCGGCAACCTTGCATTCCCACAGGTCTACATCAAGACACATCAGGTCTGCAAGGTGACCGAAAAGGGTGGGGCTATGAGCAAGCAGTGTTTGGAACTCACTACAGATGCGTTCAAATTCTAGCACTTGCTCTTCCCACTGGCTGCTGCCACCACGCACATCATGTGTCGCCGCTATTTGAAATTCCAGAAGAGCATTAGCTTCGGCAACCATAAACGGCACTTCATCTACAAAGGGAAACTCTCCATTGTCAGGGTTGCAACCGACGACGAACATGCTATGGATGGTTGCGCCATAATATTTTTCCAAAATACGGCAGTAAATGTTCAGCTGCAGCCGGTAGTGCCATAAAGCTGCATCTGGCAGGTGCGCAACGGGGCTTCGCATGAACTTTCCAAATCCATTGCATTTGTTCCACATGCATTTGGACCGCTTCCAATCACAAAGTACCAGCGATCCGTCCGACCGCACTCCAACGAAATCGATGGAGCCGGCCAAATTCTCCTCTGTGGCAAAAACTGCCCACTCCGTACGGAAAGCCATAACTCCAGACATCTTTGCATCGATGAACTTTGCAAAGAGACCCACTTCTGTGGACACGTGCGATAGAAAACCACCGTTGAGCAAGCACTCTAGCTCCATGTGCATCCATGTGCCTTGCTTCGACGCATCATCAGCGTTTCTGGTCCAGACCTTTTTGATTGTTGCGTCAGACATGGAGATCAAATCGACAATGTTGTGAAGATCTGGATGCTGCCGCACGATATTCTTGACCAACTGACAGATTTCCACATTTGGGCGCGGTTTGATGCACAAAAGATTGACCAGCTCTTTGGTGTGAACTGAATCCCTGAGGAAGCAGAGCGTGTCCTCAGCCACATAGGGCTTCAGGTATTCCGGACGTGGCCAATTCGCTCCGGCTCGCATGCCCGCAATTACACAGTCAGGGTCAAATGGCTGCGTGAATGTGTGGATGAGCTTGGTCACTGATCCAGCCGTTGGCGTCCCATCCCAGAAGTACATGTGATCACGTGCCTCGAACACCAGTCTCGCGTCTCTGGGATGGGGATTGGAGATTTTCAAATGGTCAATGATGACTGGCCAAGACTTAACAGTACACCATTGTGTGGGCGGGTGTGGCATCACGCTGCGCCTGACGACGCCGGCACGAAGGATATCTGGCAAGATACTGTCCATCTCAAGGCTCCGCAAACTGAAGAGGTTAATG